CGGGGTCTTATCGGTTAAACCATTTTATTAAACAGGAAGTCAGCAGTCGGGGAACTGCACTCACTCCCCAACACTAAACCCAAAAAACATATTAAAAACCAAATATTCCAGCAGCTGGAGCCCCAACAATACTGACTTTAGCTTTAATTTGTCTTTTTAATGTTTAATTAAAGATATTTACAGTGTAAAACAATGATCTATAAATCCAGGTGAACTCTGCTATAATACAATAATCAGACTTCCATTTACAGCAGAGTGCTGTTATTATTGGATTGTTATTATTTTAATGTGAATGTTAAAAGTTATAGAAGTGTAATAAAAGTCATTATCTGTGAGATTACAGTAATTATTGCTGTTTACACTGATAACAACTGTATTTGGACAGTTTACCTTATACACTGATAAACAACATTTATTCAACTTCCATCATTATACAACATATCTGTCAGTTCACTAACTAATACATTAAAGTTACTCAACTGAAAGCTTGACTCACAGATTTAGACCTGCTCTTTAACCATAAATATTCTATTGAAATGTTCGTGTGTCGGCTCATATGACGGCCTTTAGCTTGTGTTATATCAGTCATATTGATCCTGTATTGACAGTCAGACTGTGGACATATGACGGCCTTTAGCTCGTGTTTCTAGAGTTACGTGTTGTTACGAACACGTTAGGAATTGTTAAAATGTGATATTTCTTAAAGGGAGTTTGGTGCAGGGAGCTTTTAGTTGGATTCAAACTGCTGATATGGATCATTGTTAACGTTTAGTCTCCACTACAGAAACACTAGCCAACTGCTGAAGGCTGATCAGGTTAATTAATGCTTTAATAATGGGAGTATTGATTAACGATCAGGATCATTATCAGCTGATTGGCCTCAGTTGCTGAAGGAATCTGACTCCTGGACTCTTCTTTGTGAAAGATCTTGTGTGTGTAACAACATGTTGCTGATCACAACAACTTTAAGAGTCCTGATTACAGACTGTTAGTGGAACAGGAAATAATAGAGTGAGAGGTTGATGTTATTCATAGCAACGGCTCTGATGCCTCAGTTATCTGTGAGCTGACAACAGGAGACACCGCTGATGTTCAGGTCAGTGGACTGTCTGGTGTCTCCATGGAGACAGTAATGTTTGTGGCCAGCAGGCAGACTCTGTACGTTCACTCAGACGCACACTGCAGCTTCCTCTGGGAGTGTTTCAGTGTTTCACTGACACAAAAAGCTTCAGAAACCCAGCAGGTTATTTCTGCCACAGATATATAGAGAGTTATATAACGACAGAGCGGACGCTGTGGGCGACACTTCTTTTTTCAGCATCGAGTCGTTTAAAAAAAAATAAAGGGTTTGATTCTGAACTCGCTGATATTCTTGTTTTCATTCACACAGGCTGGAAACATACAAACTTAAGTATTAGCATCGCAGTACCTCAAGTAAAACGGCTCATTTGGGGCAGCCTGGTAGAGCTGGTGCCCCCCCCCCAGCTGTTACAGTTTATTGTTTTGTTACTGTAAGATGTTGGCGTGCTGTCGGTGGATGTGATATTAATACGGCTGTGTCGTTCATTAAGATCATTAACGGGTCTTTTCTTGCTGTCTTTGTCTTTCGGGTTATATGTTGTGTGGTTGTGAGTTGGATCAGTCGAGACTGCTGCTCTCTGTAACAATACATCATAATATAATCATAATATAATCTAATACACTGGAAGTACATACCAAATGATATAATTGAATTATAAAGAGTTCATTTGATAAAAGTTATTTATCTTTTGTCCAGTTTTATATTGTGAAAACATGAAAAAGATGTCCGAGTGCTTCTTTTGTTTTAATCAAATCTGAACTGGTTTTATTTTATAAATATAAAGTTTAATCATTATTGTGAGTCCATGTTCTCAATCTAAAAGGTTTAATTTATTTAAACTTAACCAGGTTAAACTGACCAGGACTTAAACCTTGTTACACAGCAGACATTTATCATATCATATCAGACTGAAGTCAGAGAGCAAAGTGCTCTGAAATAACTGAAACATCCATCAGGTTGAAAGTTCATCAGACTTATTCATAAGTTGCTAAAAGTAACTGTACTCGTTTTAATTAGGTTCAATATCAGGTACAAGTGAGTAACAAAGTATAATATCTGTACTAATACTACTGATATTAACTGTTAGAGCGTTCGTTATAATTAATAAAACTTTACAGTTAACTCAAAAAGAAGCTGTAAACTGACGTAAGCAGAAGTTTCTCAGTGTGTTACCGTCCTCACAGTGCTTACATTAAACCGTCTCCACTTCCTCAACTGTGAGATATGTGGAGCCAAACGTTGTCAGGGCCAACTCGAAGTCTGCAGACACTAAAAATCGTCTGTACATTGCTTCAAATAATTATATTTGAGTTACAGGTGAATATCAATCAAAGCAGAAGCAGCAAAGACTTTATTTATGTGTATTTTTATTTTATTGAGTCTCTATCAATCAAACTCAATAAAGTTTTCACTGATTGTGTGTTAATAAATTAAATTTAGGCAACATTTGAAATTATATTCATGAAAGTCGAAAAGACAGTGAATTATAATATAAAATATAAATCTGTATAGTTTATATGCACAGAGAATAGAAAAGGACCCATGATGGAGCCTTGCAGGACACCCAGACTGACGGGAGCCATTTAAAAACTGCTGATTGAGTGTAAAACTTTCTTTTTTAAAGTAGAAATACAGTGGTGGAAGAATACATCGTATTTTATTCATTATATTTTCTATTAATCTGTAAACTACAGAACCACCATAACGCTGATTACTGTCGATGCCGAGTAAAGAACCGCAGTCCGCTTTTTATTTAGCTTGAGACATTAAATCCTTAAAGAGTTACTGACTACAATCAAATGGAAGACACACAAACTGGACTGTAACTGGCATCTAGCTTTGTAGTTGCAGCTTGCAACCCCCTCGCCTCATCTCCAGGATGCCGATGTTCTATGTGAAAAGTGTCCTGAGGCAACTTAACTGTTGCTAAACAAATAAAACTGAATTGAAATCTATTTTTAGCTGGAGGCTTTGAAACCCTACAATGTGACTACAATCAGCTGGATTGTAACTTCTGTAGATTTGCATGTTTTACCCAAAGCAGCCTGACGTCGCACGGCTCCAGCAGCTCATTTGAATGGAGATAAAACCACATCCAGTGAAACAGCCGGTTGCTTCAGGAAAGCAAAAGAGTGTCAGTGAGATCCACAGATGGGTGTGAAGTGAAGAAACTGACAGACGTTTGTTTCACCATCAGCTCTAACCTCAACCCTCAGCCCTGACACCACAGTTACTCAAACTCTTTCCACTTCAGCTTTTAGCTCCTCAGATTCTCACGTCCACTTTGGAAACATGAATTTAAAAGATCAGATGTGTTGTTGCCCCGTGGACTCGATGACCCTTCAACCTCAACCTCTAACATCTCATTTTAAACCCTCCTCGTTGAAGGTGTGAAAATACCGTCACTATGCTGGAACGTCTCCCACGCTGACGGTGGTAAAAGTGGAAACACATGAAACTCACGCTGTACTCCTGATCCAGAGTCCCGGGATCCACAGTCCTCAGGGTGGAGAGCAGGGAGGGCAGCAGCTCCATGTCGCCTCAGATAACATCCAACACCTGAGCCGACCTCTCACTCTCTCACTCACTGACTGACTGACTGACAGACTGACTGACAGAGAACCGGCTGACCAACCAAAACTGAAATTAAAATAAACCACACTCTCTCTCTCTCTGTGTGTTTTATCTCTACCTCCCTCTACCTCCGTCTTATGGTTCTCTCTTTACCTCTGCCTCTCTCTCACTTCTGCCTCGGTGTTTAACCCTCCTTAGTTAATCATTGAACAGGAGATAATTGAGCATATCTGTGTGTGTGTGTGTGTGTGTGTGTGTGTGTGTGTGTGTGTGTGTGCAGACCGAGGAGGAAGTGCAAATGAAATAACAGAAACTTTACTCGATTACTTCACTGAGTTTTAATGGGCCAACTTTCAGAGATATTTCCTTCCTCAGGGTGGCGACAACCAGTTCCACCTGTTTGTGTCAGACAGACAGACACAGACAGACACAGACAGACAGACACAGACAGACACAGACAGACACAGACAGATACAGACAGACAGATACAGGCAGACACAGACAGATACAGACAGACACAGACAGATACAGACAGACACAGACAGACAGATACAGGCAGACACAGACAGATACAGACAGACACAGACAGATACAGACAGACACAGACAGACAGATACAGGCAGACACAGACAGACACAGACAGACACAGACAGATACAGACAGACAGATACAGACAGAGACAGACAGATACAGACAGACACAGACAGATACAGACAGACACAGACAGACAGACAGATACAGACAGACAGATACAGACAGACAGATACAGACAGACAGACAGATATAGACAGACAAACAGATACAGACAGACAGATACAGCAACGACAGATAGGCAGACAACAGACAGACAGATACAGACAGACAGATACAGACAGACAGATACAGACAGACACAGACAGACAGACAGACAGATACAGACGTAAACAAGCTCACTGTTACAGTTTCAGACAGACAGAAATCCTTTAACTGTTGATACACTGTAAATAATAATAATAATAATAATAATAATTTATATCTTACCTTTAATCTTTAGAAATAGTTCAAACATTTGTTTTGCTTTCAAGTCTGTTAAAGAATTAAAGTATCAGGATAGTTGAGTAAAAGTTCTCACTGTAGTTCTTCTTCTTATTTCCTGTATGTGTATATAAACTGATTCTTTTTGTTTTTATCTTTTATCTTATTCTAGGAATCCGATGATCTTTGTCTGTGTACAACTACAAACTTATTTACAAATCATTTTAATTAATAAAAATAACTTGATTAGAAATAGATTCCTTTTCCTTTTTGTTCTCAGAAATAAAGTCAGATATTTGTCACTTCCTGCCGCAGAGAGACGACCACCAGT